ATTTTTAAACCTGATTACGTAATCCAGATTACATCAAATTGTATTCAGTTACTACCCAGCTCTGTTTAGTGCATTTCTGTTTAGAGGTAGTAAAGAAAATAGCTACATGAAATAGCAAAATACACAAAATAGCTTTACGTAATGCCTCAGTTTCACAAAAGAATTAAATAACAAGCATTAATTGAGCCTCTTGTTGTGTTTTCATTATGTAAATGGGGTTGACGAGCTCTTCTGCTATTTTCTCCTCTGTCTCTACCGACAGTCTACCGAGTCTCATCAACTACAGCACAAGGACCAACTGCGGATTAACAGGTGTGTGTGTGTGTGTGTGTGTGTGTGTCCAGTAATGGAGTAGATACAGCACAGACGTAAGTAATCAATCCTGATACAGTAGATGGAGCGATCTGAGATATAGACCTAAATCTACTGTAGCCTATATATACATAATGTTAGAGATGAGGTTGCACCAAAGACAGCCAGAAGCAACAGAAAATGAACATGCAGCTGTAATGGAACAGACATTAGTGTTTGATATGGAACAGAAGCGTGGGATTGCGCACGGGGGAAAGTGTGTCGTTTATTTTCACCGCTGCCCAGGTGTGCTGATCAAAATGAGTAATGAGAGAGTTAGTAGAGCAGCACCTCAGAGAATACACTCACACACCATGCATACATGCAAACACAAAACTCACAAAAGAGAATTATAAAATTAATACAAGAATTCTGCTAAGAAGGAGAGAGTATCAGCTATTTTTATGGCAAATACTTGAATCAAGGTGTTTATTAATACATTCGAGAAAGTTTGCATGTTTCATAGGAATTGAACCTATGAACTTGGTGTTGCAGCGCCATCCCCTACCAGCTGAGCTACAGTAACCCTGTTTGTCCGTTATGTCCGCTACAGCATTTCTACACCGCAATAAATTTCTTCTTTATGCCAGAGTATTTACGCTCATGATACATGGTCTGTGCATTTGGCACCATCATGTTTATGTTTGTGACATTTGGCATCAAGCCCCTGGAAAATGGATCTCTTGCACCCAAGAGGTCTTGAGGTCTCCTCGCCATTTCCTCAGATAGATTTTAGATGGTACACATAAGCCCTGCTGCAAATAAGCATGGGCGCTTCCTTTCTTACACACGTTCCATCACCGACCCGTTCCAAAACCTTTGCACGAACAGATCGGGATGGTGGAAAACGTCATCTGTTATTCCACCCGTGCACTTAGGAAGATTTATTCCATCCAGAGATCTATTTGTGATGATATGAGGGTTCACATGCAATCACGTAGACACATATTATATTGCATGAATGATGTCATCACATAACAATAGCTTTATAAGATACGCTGTTCATGTGTGATTGTTAATACGGTCTGAAAATAAAGTATAAACCACTCATGCATATTTACCGTGTAGTGTCACATAATGTTGATGACTACATGATAAAGTCTGGTAGATGCAACATGTTGCTGATTCGTAAAGACATGCACTCATACAGAAGTGGGTTCTGTGAATTTCTTTGTTTCTCCTGCATTTTGTAAGTGATGCAACAATGTGGAAGAGACGATGTTCAGTTTGATTTTCTCAAAAAACATGGACAGTAAGGTGCTTTATGCTTCACTGAGGCCAACTGCTATCATTAGAAACACTTTGGGCCTCATTCATGAAACACGATCAGAACGAATTTCTGTGTAGGCTCGTCTCTCTCTCTCTCTGTGCCTCTCTCATCCTTGACTGTAAAAGAAATCCTGTTAAATGTAAACTGGCAACTATGCCAGAAATTCACTAGGGTGGCGTTTTGGTGCCTGCATATTTTACAGTACATAAATGTGTATTTCTTTAATTGTTATGAGTTAATATATCAACATTTCAATTACAAAAAGCTACTCTGTATAATAAAATTTACTGATAACTACCATAATAATACAGGTGGTAAAATGGTAAAATTGAACTTTACATGATTAATTAAAGTTCTTTAAAATTGGCATTTCCATGAACAATTCGCTAATGAACATACAATGCAACAAGTGTAATATGAAGCACTACACAGCTACTTTGTCTTTTCACATTTAATGCATCACAAGTTTACTGTCAACTGCAAATGACAAAAATTGGAACAATTTTAACAAGATTTTATTGTAAACGTGCATGTGTTGTCTTGAATATACTATACACTAAGATTTTTTAAATGTTTTTGAAAGAAGTCTCTTGTTCTCACCAAGGCTGCATTTGATCAAAAATACAGTAAATCAGTAATGCTGTTAAATATTATTACATTTTACCATAAGTGTTTTCTATTTGAATATATTTAAAAATATAATTTATTCCTGTGATGGCAAAGCTGAATTTTCAGCATCATTACTCCAGTCTTCAGTGTCACATGATCCTTCAGAAATCATTCTAATATGCTGATTTGCTGCTCAAGTAACATAATCAATGTTGAAAACAGTTGTGCTGCTTAATACTTCTGTGAAAACTGTTACGTATTTTTTTGACTTTCTATTAATCAATGAATTTATATGATTCATTGATTAATAGCGAGTTCAAAAGAACAGCATTTATTATAACATTATAGATGTCTTTAAATGTGACATATCATGAAAGTGCTATAATCGGTTCCCCGGTGCATCTACCAACCCAGAAAACATGAAAAAGGACAACCCAGTAACTTTGTTTTGGTAAGCCTTTCTCCGCAAGCTTATGAAAAAATTAACCGTTTTTGCTCGGATTTCGCTCACCTAGTAAAGTAGGATCTTATTATAATATTTCTGCCCCTTAATCTGCAAGTTTCCACCCACGGAGCCGTCATTTTAATTTTGCAAGCGACAATGGTGTACCAGCTCTAACGTCATGGCAAAAGTTCAAGCAAAGCATGCTAACTGTTCTGTCTTTGGCTGCACAGACAAGCACAGAACACTGTTTAGAGTCCCAGTCTCAGAGGAGACAAGAGAGCAGTGGATTTATTGATTTATTTACTGTATATTTACGCTGCTGCCACACAGATCTAATATAAACTCTTTTTTTTTCCTTCACAGACATAACCCACTGTTTACAAACTCATGTCTGTTTGTAACATAAACTTGTGTGTATTTGACAGTTTAAGCGCAATAAGACATGAAAGAGAGCGTAGTTTATACTCACATGCCACGTGACAGCCGCTTTCTGTGCGTGTGCTTCGGATGTGTGTGCTCAGAAAACCGTATATCAGAAGTTTAAACTCATATGGTTTAAAACACATGATTTCAGCGTGATAAACATGACAATTAAAACCAAACAGATGTTTTTTAGCAGAGTATATGAGGTACCAGCTGCAAAGGCACAGTCCCATTCTGGACAAGTGGGCGGGGAGCATCAGCTCATTTGCATTTAAAGAAACATGCACGAAAACAACGTGTTTCTGCTTCCACTCAAAATAGGCATTTTCAAAATGATATAATAAATGATCTGTGGGGTATTTTGAGCTGAAACTTCACAGACACATTCTGGGATTTATATTACATATTGTAAAAAGGGCATTACAGGTCTCCTTTAATATATGTTTTGATCAATTTAATGCATCCTTGCTGAATAAAAGTGTCGGTTTCTTCCAGGAAAAATACATTCCTGACCCCAAACATTTAAACAGTAGTGTACATTTTCATTTATGTAATAATTCATGCATTTTACTGTCCAAAAATATGTAATTTTACAGTAAAATTCCAAATATTGCATCCAATTTAATTCTAATGTTACATTTTATGTCGGGTAATGATTACCAATTCACTGTTTATTACTGTAACATTGTACATTAACATGACAAATATTCATTTTTCTCTGATTTCTTAATATCTTCCTATCATTCATCTTCTTCTTCATTTAATTAATTCAATTAAACTGTATCGACATAATGTTCTTCTCAGCAATTGTTCGCCTCACAGCATCATGTTTGACTTCTAAGGAAAGAGTGTCTTTAGAGACTGTTGATATTAAGTTTGGACTGATAAATAAAATCCCCTTCTTACTATAAACAAAGTCGTCTTCAAAGGGCTTTTGAGACAACCATCCTAAAAGCACAGGAAATTGTGAGTATTATGTAAGTTTTATGTAAATGTTTTTGTCTCTGTGCAAACTGTACCCATGAATTTCCTCATCATTTTGTCAGAACTTTGAATACAATATGTTAGCAGTGTGAATACAGCACTATTGAACATGTCAGCTGTATTCAACTGGCCATTAACGTCTACCTGTAGGCTATTTGCCTAGTCTGTTTTTTTACAGTTGGAAAGTAACAGTGGATGTTGACCTCTGTAGTCCTGCCAATGTTCAAGTGCCATATGAGATCCCTGTATCAACAAATGGAGCCTGCGTCATACTAGGACATTGTAAACTATGTGGGACTGAAAATATTAGAGATGCCCAATGCATGAAACCCAAAGAGGAACTAAGAAATTCTGTACATACAAGCACACACAAGTGTTATGGTGCCATCTTCTGTCAATACATTTTATTATTTGAACTGTTGGATAGTCTTGAGAGGATATATGGTATTAATTGTGGAAAGAAGTATGCACCATTTTTATATTAAAAATATATGACAAATATTTTAAGTCTTAATCAAAGAGTCTCTAATGACCTACTATGAAGGTGGGGTTTCTATTAGTAGCCTATTTTTGCAAACATGTAAATGGAGTTTAACCAAAATTATAATGCAATTATTAAATAAGATGCATTAATCATATTACTTAATAATGATAATGATCATTTTTGAAGACAAGAAGTACATTTTTGCACTTATGTGCATGTGTAGGCCTACATTATGTGCATTACGGTGAATATTGAACACTGGATGTTCTCGTTCATTTCTGTAGTATTTTACGCCAACATGTAACAAGAGCTAACATAATTCTAAAATAAATGTATGCATTTAAAGCAGTTTTTTTTCAACTTATACAACATACTTTTTTTTTGCCCTAGATTTGTTTTTCAAACGGGCAATGTACAGGGCCACTGATGATGACGTCACCAACGTACGACATACGTTGCTCTGAGTGAGGACCTCGCGGTGCGTGGTTTGGAAACAGTACGAGGAATAACTTTGAAACAATAATAAAATTACCCCAGGCATAAAGTTTCCCATGCAGGTATACAACTATTATAACGTTACATAGTGCATTTACATGTGATAGACAGAAATTAAAGATTATTTAAATGAGCCAGTCATTCATTCATATTTTGTCGCATGTTTGTTGCGCGTTTAGATGTGGTAACAGCTTTTTTTGAGGCGTTTCTAAATCCTTAACTTTAAGATGTATTGTGATTGTCTGTAAGTTAGTAATTTGTTTCATCATGTTGCATATGCACATTCTGCGTCTGTAATATTTGTGATGTTTACTAGGGTCTTAAAGATAAACTCGTGGAGCTGCTGTAGATAGCATTGTGCGCAATAATCGCAAAGGAGTAAGTCACATGATCATCATACGAAACAACATACTGTACATAAAGTCATGAGAGTGAAAGTAAAACCATCTTATACTTTTTCAAAGTAGTCACATTTTTTTCTAGATTACAGTTTTGCGCTTTCTTCACGAGCCGCAACTAAATCCCATGCATGCTCAATACTTCTCTGTAGTAGGGCTGGAAGGAAAATGTCATTCCAATCTGTTTTGTCCCATCAGAGCTCGACAGCATGGAGACGGATCTTTATGATGAGTTTGGAAACTATATTGGACCAGAGCTGGACTCTGATGAAGATGAGGAAGTAGATGCAGATGACCGGGAGGCTGATGAGGTGCGTCTGAGATGTTTTCTGCCATCTGTTCATTTGTGTATATTACAGCAGAAACCTGTAAATTACAAAAATTATCTTGAAACTGCCCAAAAAATATGTGTTTTTGTGCAAGTTGCAGCATATACAGTATGAGTGGGATATGAGTGCAGTTTATCTTATTACAGGCAGATGAGGAGGAGGATGATGAAGACCAGGCTGAGGTTGATGAGGAGGATGGTGGCGGTATGGAGGTGGTTCTGCATGAGGATAAAAAGTACTATCCCACAGCTGAGGAAGTTTATGGTCCTGAGGTGGAGACTATCGTCCAAGAAGAAGATACACAACCATTGACAGGTAACAGATATGCTGGTGGAATACTAGTATATGTACTACATGTGCACAAAATCAAGTGTATCTCATTTCATTTCCTCCTCAGAGCCCATCATAAAACCTGTGAAGATGAAGCGGTTTACTCTGATGGAGCAAGAGCTTCCCGCCACCGTCTATGACATGGAGTGAGTTCACTGTTGTGTTGTTTCTCTCTCTCCCTGTTTGTCTGAACTGCGTATTGTTACATGCATGTCTGTCCGCAGGTTCCTTGCTGATTTGATGGACAGCTCAGAACTGATCAGAAATGTCACCTTGTGTGGACACTTACACCATGGCAAGGTAAAGGACACCATCATGCTTGTTCAGTTTTGTCTGATAAATGAAGGTGCATCATGTGGTGCTTTTTTTTATATGTGCTGAGTTTGATTACGTTAATTTTGAGGACAAATTAAAATGCATTTGTTTGTCCCCACAGACTTGCTTTGTGGACTGCCTCATTGAACAGACACATCCTGAAATCCGCAAGAGAGATGACTCTGATGTAAGTATATAGTTATTAAATATAAAAAAAGTGTTTTTGTTTATATTAAGCATATGAATATTAATAAAATATACACTTGGTTTCAGTTGTGTTTAACCACTGTATATATATATATATATATATGTAATCTTTTTCGTATTCTTATATGTGTGTATATATGTATGTGTAAAAAAAAAAAAAAACAGCTACAGCTTTTCACATGCAGGTGTTTTGTTGAGCAGATGTTTATTTCGCTCTACACTAACACTGGATATGTTACAATAATGATGTTTTACTTTTTTACAGTTACGATACACAGATATCCTCTTCACAGAGCAAGAGGTAAGAAATCAACTAATTCGTCTGATCGCAAGCAAGCATGTGCATTCAGTGCATTTATCTCATGTACGTTTTTGTGTTTTCTCACAAGAGGGGAGTTGGCATCAAGAGTACGCCTGTAACCATGGTTCTGCCTGACTCCCGGGGCAAATCTTACCTTTTTAACATAATGGACACGCCAGGTACTCCCTGACCTCTTTCCCTCTTCCCTGTGCTCACCTTTTCACACATTAAAAAGTAGCTGACATATGTTTAAAATATCACTTAGAAAAATATAAGTGCACAGTATGCTGTGCAAAAGCAGGAGATTTATCTCTTGAACCTGTCCTCAGGTCATGTGAATTTCTCTGATGAGGTGACATCATCAGTCAGACTGTCTGACGGCATTGTGCTTTTCATTGATGCTGCTGAGGGGGTGAGTTCACACATACACAGTCTACTGCTAATGTCAGGCTTTTGGCTCCAGGACTGCTATTATCATGTTGTTGTCATCGTAATACACAGTTTATGAAAATCACTGTCTTAACGTAATGTTTTTCGTAAGCTTATATTATATTTGTCAAATTAAATTAGCTTTGTTATGCAGGTATAAACATTTGAATGTGTTCAGGTGATGCTAAACACTGAGCGACTGATCAAGCATGCAGTGCAGGAGAAGTTGGCCATCACTATCTGTATTAATAAAGTGGATCGTCTGATCGTGGAGCTCAAGCTGCCCCCTACAGATGCCTACTACAAACTGCGCCACATTGTGGATGAGGTCAACGGCTTGCTGAGGTACCCCACTGTGTTTAAAGGAAGAGGTTTTGGTAGATACAACATGATATTGAGACAAATCTTAGATCTGCTGTTTGTCTTTCACTTGCTTATTGATATTCATTTTCTTTATGAATTTAATTGTTTTTAGCTAACAGTTTTGTCTGAAATTCTATAGAATAATCTCTTTTTTTTCTTCTCTGGCAGCACAATACTCCACTGATGAGTCTCTGATTGTGTCTCCCCTGTTGGGGAACGGTTTGTCTTTCACTTGCTTATTGATATTAATTTTCTTTATGAATTTAATTGTTTTTAGCTAACAGTTTTGTCTGAAATTCTATAGAATAATCTCTTTTTTCTTCTTCTCTGGCAGCACATACTCCACTGATGAGTCTCTGATTGTGTCTCCCCTGTTGGGGAACGTGTGTTTCGCTTCCTCACAATACAGCATCTGCTTCACTCTTGGCTCCTTTGCCAAAATCTATTCAGACACCTACGGTGAGACATACACGCACAAAAAAAACAAATTCAAATGCATCCTCAATGATTCTGTCTGAAAACATCAACCTTTTTTTTTTTTACTCTCAATTGTTAGGTGATGCTAAACACTGAGCGACTGATCAAGCATGCAGTGCAGGAGAAGTTGGCCATCACTATCTGTATTAATAAAGTGGATCGTCTGATCGTGGAGCTCAAGCTGCCCCCTACAGATGCCTACTACAAACTGCGCCACATTGTGGATGAGGTCAACGGCTTGCTGAGGTACCCCACTGTGTTTAAAGGAAGAGGTTTTGGTAGATACAACATGATATTGAGACAAATCTTAGATCTGCTGTTTGTCTTTCACTTGCTTATTGATATTCATTTTCTTTATGAATTTAATTGTTTTTAGCTAACAGTTTTGTCTGAAATTCTATAGAATAATCTCTTTTTTTTCTTCTCTGGCAGCACATACTCCACTGATGAGTCTCTGATTGTGTCTCCCCTGTTGGGGAACGTGTGTTTCGCTTCCTCACAATACAGCATCTGCTTCACTCTTGGCTCCTTTGCCAAAATCTATTCAGACACCTACGGTGAGACATACACGCACAAAAAAAACAAATTCAAATGCATCCTCAATGCTTCTGTCTGAAAACATCAACCTTTTTTTTTTTTTACTCTCAATTGTTTTCCAGGTGACATCAACTACATGGAGTTTGCTAAAAGACTGTGGGGAGACATTTACTTCAACCCTAAACCGTAAGAATCTGAAGCTAATTTAATTTCACAGACAATTTGCAGAAGGGCAGCATGTTTTTTTTGTTCTCGATTGTAACGGTCACATTTTGTGCCTGTCAGGAGGAAATTCACAAAGAAAGCCCCCAACAGCAACTCTCAGCGCAGCTTTGTTGAGTTCGTACTAGAGCCGCTGTACAAGATTCTTTCACAGGTGAGAAATACACTCACATTTCTTTTATGTATGCACATTCGGGCAGTCAAATACACAGGCTGTATAACTGTGGTGTGCCTGTAGGTGGTGGGGGATGTGGATACGTCTCTGCCTCGTGTGTTGGATGAGCTCGGCATTCATCTGACTAAAGAGGAATTAAAGCTCAACATCAGACCTCTGCTGCGCCTTGTCTGTAACCGCTTTTTTGGAGAGTTTACAGGCGAGTGTTTTTTTTTCATGCATGACCGGGTGTTAACCATATTTTCTACTGATTGAGAGAGGAAATACTGCAGTATATTGACTTAGAATGCCCTATTTTACTGTCATGATGAGTGAATCATAATTCTTGCACACGTGTCAGGTTCGTTCAATCTAATAATATGTGCTAATACAACAGGCTTTGTGGACATGTGTGTGCAACACATACCGTCTCCTCAGGGGGGTGCCAGAGCCAAGATAGAGCACAGCTACACAGGTGGACTGGACTCAGACCTCGGAGAGACAATGTCTGAGTGTGATCCTGATGTAAGTGTGACATTCAGCTTGTAAAATGATTTAAAGTGTTTGTTTGTTTTTCAGAAAAAAATTGGTAACACTTCAGTATAGGGACCAATTCTCACTATTAACTAGTTGCTTATTAGCATGCCTATTATTAACATATTGGCTGTTTATTAGTGCTTATAAATCACAAATTCTCGATGACCATATTCTACATCCCTAATCCTACCCAATGCCTAAACTTAAAGGGGTCCTATTATGCTCTTTTACAAAGTCTTGATTTTGTTTTGGGGGTGTACTAGAACAGGCTCGCATACTCGGTTGTTCGAAAAACACATTATTTTTCACATATTTTACATTATTACAACACCTCTCTCCCCAGTCTGGCATGGTCATGCCGTTTACAATAGCCGCCTGCGAGCTTTAGTGTAAATATTGCATCAAAATCAAATAATTTTATTCGCTTTATAATTTTAAGCGATTTAAACCCGGAGGATTGTAACCACTCTAAGTTCGTCTGCCTTGGGAAAGCTAGCGTGTCTGCAGTTCCATGCGTTTGGTCGAGTCCTGAGCGGAACCCTGCAGGCGGGCCAGCCGGTGAAGGTTCTGGGAGAGAACTACAGCCTGGAAGATGAGGAGGACTCACAGATCTGCACTGTCGGACGCCTGTGGATTTCTGTCGCTAGGTGACCGTCACACTCTGTCTTTCTGATTGCTCTTTTTTTTTTTTTTTTTTCTAGCATTATTAGTCCATGGTCCCCCATTTTCCCCAACAATACTTGAAGGCCCCATGACTTTTCTAGTTGTTCAGGATTTAAGAATTTCTTAAGGATTTTTTAAATATATATTTTGTATTCAGTGTATACCCCATAAAAAAAACTGAGATTGACATAACTAGCAAAAAATATATTATTATAAAAATGCCCATGCAGTTATATGATTTTATTAATCTGGTTCTAGAAGTCACACTTTAAAAATTAAGGTTTTTCAAGACTATTATTATTTTAAAGACTTGTTTTGTCTTATTTTAAATAATTTTATGTCATCTTGAGACCCAAAGATAAAAGTAAAATAGATATTATTGGAGTACGTTTTAAAAGAAAAATACTATTTTAGTCTTTCTACTTAAACATTTCAAGCTTATTTCAATGTATTATTTGTTGTTCTGTAAAAATTTACTATTTCTGAGTGAAAACTGTTTCAAAGTAAATCATACATCAGTCCCCCCCACCCCCACTGTAGTCTTTGTAAATGTTATGTTTTATGTGTTTATGTAAGGTATCAGATTGAAGTGAATCGTGTCCCTGCTGGTAACTGGGTGTTGATCGAAGGGTGCGACCAGCCTATTGTTAAAACGGCCACAATCACAGAGCCCCGTGGAAATGAAGAGGTAGGAAAGAGAGATATCTATTCGAAACAATGCAGTGTTCATTTATGAGACTTTGGAAGTTGAATGTTGAATTGGTGTGAGTAGGCTCAGATCTTCAGGCCATTGAAGTTTAACACAGCGTCAGTGATAAAAATTGCTGTGGAGCCGGTCAATCCCTCAGAACTGCCCAAGATGTTGGATGGACTCAGAAAAGTCAACAAAAGTTATCCGTCACTTACAACAAAGGTAACACTCCCTAGAACACCCCACGGTACCAATTTTGTTTTAAAACCATATCTTTTTCATGTTTTGAGCCTCTGGACCAAACCAGATGTTACATATACTTGCACTGACAATCAGCAAGGTTACTTTATGATTTTTTTTAAGTGTATCAAGATTCATAACTATGATGTGTTTTAATCTTTTTACTAGCTTGCTTCATATTAATCTGTGCTGGTTTGTGTGAGTTCAGGTGGAGGAGTCAGGAGAACATGTGATTCTTGGTACAGGTGAGCTGTACCTTGACTGTGTAATGCACGACCTGCGGAAGATGTACTCTGAGATCGATATCAAGGTGCTCTTTTGCTGTCATACAAATTTCTTTCCTCTCTTTTTGCCTATGTTTTTTATTTTCATGTGATTTCTCTTTGATCTCTCACAATAGGTGGCTGATCCAGTAGTGACCTTCTGTGAGACTGTGGTAGAGACGTCCTCCTTGAAGTGTTTTGCTGAAACGCCCAATAAAAAGTAAGGAACAAACTTCCTGTATCTCAGCACCACCATTTAGAACTTGATTTGTGAAATTTTTTTTTTTTTAATGTGACCTGTAAAAGTCTTGACATGCATCAGTGTTTGTATACGTATGTGTGATTTGTAACACTGTGTGTGTGATTGGCAGGAATAAGATTACCATGATTGCCGAGCCGTTGGAGAAGGGCCTAGCCGAAGACATTGAGAACGAGGTGGTGCAGATCACGTGGAACAGGTAAGATAACATGTCAGAACTGTAGAGAACTTCTGGGTTATATGTAACACAAAGATGTCTTTCTTGATATTAAATATTAGGACCCATAACAGTTTTTAACACTGATAATGATAAATGTTTCTTGTGCACCAAATCATCACCAACATGTTTAAGAGTATTACTGTTTTAACTGTATTTTTGATCACATAAATGCAGCCTTGTTGAGCATAAGAGACTTCTCTGAAAAAAATTCAAATATTTAACAACCACAAACTTTTAAGTGGTAGTTTATGTGGTGCAGTTCAACCGACAAGATCTACTGTTTCACTTAAAATCTGTTCACTATTTTAAAACCAATAAATGTATATATATATTTTTCTCTCTCTGTAGAAAAAAGTTGGGAGAGTTTTTCCAGACGAAGTATGACTGGGATTTGCTAGCAGCTCGTTCCATTTGGGCTTTTGGACCGGACACAACCGGTCCCAACATTTTAGTAGACGACACTTTGCCCTCTGAGGTAATTTGCATATCAGCTGATATTAATCATGCTCTGCAAGGTTCATTTATATTCATTAAATCATTGTAATATTTTTTTTTTTATACAATTCAACTGTAATTGGGTTGCAAATGAATGAAATTCTGGATATTTGACTTCACCTCTCCTCTGACTGTATTGACATCAATTTTAAAATAGTGCCTTTGGCCATTTGAATGTAGATGTGTGTGTTAAAGTCTTTTGGCATGGATGTGTTGGTGTGTCGTTGTTTGGTGTCTGTGTGCTTGTGTGTGGAAAAAATTGACGTCACATATGATTGGATGTGACACAGTGTGTCTGTTTTTGTGAGAGGTTGTGCACTGGTGTGCTTAACTTGTTGACAGCTACATAATTTGATAAATGATGTTTTCTTTCTCTGTGTGTGTTGTAGGTAGATAAAGCTCTTCTTGGCTCAGTGAAGGACAGCATTGTACAGGGCTTCCAGTGGGGCACACGCGAGGGTCCTTTGTGTGATGAACGTGAGACAGTGCATGACATTTTATTTGAGAACTTTCAATGGTTATGAAGGCTAAACAGCCTAAAAAGCACCACAGAATGAATAAATGTTCTTAGGGTAAATATACTTGTTTAAATTAGGGATGCTCTGTATATTGTTATCGGTTGATATTTGATATATATCAGCCAAGGTAACACTTTAGTATATGGACCAATTCTCACTATTAACTAGTTGCTTATTAGCATGCCTATTATTAATATATTGGTTGTTTATTAGTGCTTATAAAGCACATATTCTGCATGACCTTATTCTACATCCCTAATCTTAAACTTAACAACTACCTTACTAACTATTAATAAGCAGCAAATTAGGAGTTTGAGGCAAAAGTCGTAGTTTTATGGTTCGTTAATAGTGAGAATTGGACTTTAAATAAAGTGTGACCATCATCATCCACCAACATGATATTTAATATATTTTTACATTTAGTTTGCCTTTGCCGTCTTTGAACGCTCACATAAAGTTAATCTTTAAAAACATTAATAATTTAATAACACTGTTAAATGTAATCTTTAGCAAATCTCCAAATGAATGTCCATTATTCATAACATACATTAAAATGTTGTGATGTCTAGATTCACTTGTAGCATTTGAAAATATTGATATTAGTTTTCGGTGCCTTTATTTTTAACTTATTTAGACGACATAGTATAGAAATGTAGTATTAGCAATTGTATTGTTTATCAGTCATAAAATGACAGTAATTATCGTCTAGAATGTTAATATCAGTGCACTACTAAGTTAAATGTCATGATCTCAAAATTTTGAGCAAAACTTGCACATTTGTAAGGTTACATTTTCTTCCCCTCTTTTCCTTTCATTGCCGTTTTCCACCCTCAGTGCTTTTGCTACTGTGCCTTTACGTTTTTCATATGCAAATGTCCTCTTTGTAAATGGCTACAGTTTGGTGTTTCTGTTTGTGCTAAATAACAAATCTATCTCCTTGTCATTCCCTGCGTTCAGCAATCCGCAACGTGAAGTTTAAGATCCTGGACGCAGTGATCGCACAGGAGCCGCTGCACAGAGGAGGAGGACAGGTCATCCCTACAGCTCGCAGAGTCGTCTACTCTGCCTTCCTGATGGTAATCTATCCTTCCATAGGTCTGTTTAGCCACCTCTCTTCTTCCCCCATCTTCCTCTGTTTCCTTTCTCTGCCTAATCATTGTTTCCATTAGTCTTATTGGACTGGTTCATTCAATTACGTGATCCATTAACTCAGTTCAGTAGATTAAGTTGATTATCGTAATTGGTTTCTCACTTGCTCACACTCTCTTTTTCCTCGCTTTGTGATTGGTTGGTTTCTGTAGGCCACGCCCAGGCTGATGGAGCCCTATTACTTTGTGGAGGTTCAGGCCCCTGCTGACTGCGTTTCTGCTGTGTACACGGTGCTGGCACGCAGGAGGTACAATACACACAAACACAACGAGGACATTGCTGACTCCTCGTCTGTTAACACACACACACTCACATTAAGCAAATTGTTGCTCAAGGCAGCAAAAGTCAGCAAGTCTCTAATAAAGACAGTGTCCTTTCAGAACCAGCCTCTGACTGATCTCTTGTCTGTGTGTCCCATAGAGGTCATGTGACGCAGGATGCGCCAATCCCTGGCTCTCCTCTCTACGCCATCAAGGCTTTCATTCCCGCTATTGACTCGTTTGGCTTTGAAACTGATCTCCGCACACACACGCAGGGCCAGGCCTTCGCGCTCAGTGTGTTCCACCACTGGCAGGTACAAACACACCCACATATCTTTTTTTTCTGCTTCCTTTCTTGTGTATGCGTGTTTAAATGAGGGTAAGAGTATTATGTGTAAGCGAATCTCACAAAACCTGTCCAAAACACCAGGTCACATGAAAAGAATTTAAAATAGGAAATCATATATTTTTCATTTTCTTTTAGCAAAATATGATTTCTAATTTTTTATTTTATTTTGCAACTTCTTTTTTACATAATTACATTTAATGGCATTTAATTATTATATATGAGAAAATTATATTTACATTATTTTGTTAAAATTATAAAATTAAGTCAAATTAATATTAATATGACTTATAATTAGATTTTGCTATTAATATTATACAATTATTACTGTATGCTGATTTGTTTTTTTAATTGTGCTACAGTATTTTTATTGTGGAAAAAAATGAGAATCACCTTTGGAAATTACAGTTTTTCTCGATAGCTAACACACAATTCATGAAACAATTCACTATTTTCTCACAACTAAACACAATCTCAAAACTATACACCAACTTCTGCAAACTTCAAACTTCCAGGTCAAAATCAAATACTTTAGTCAAAAATAGATGAAAGGCACTAGAAGAGAAAAGTTCAAAAACCAAACAGCAGAATATACAGTGAACACACATTGGAATATACTGTCAGTTACTGTAAATAAATAAATTCATTCATTCAGCATTCTCTGCCAAATTGCATTACAGTATTGGTAATATCCTTATTTGTTATAGCAGTTTCTTAGTCTTCTGATAAAAGATTTCTCTGCTTCCTCTAGTCTAGACAGTCGTCTCTCAGTTCTGCAAAAATAGAGTACATGTAAGGACTACTTGGCTACAAATAAATTCAACAGTAATGAGTTTGAGGGTGTACAGCATGTGCTACAGTATTTACTGTACATAGAATAATGTAAGTTCTCTCATCTGAAGTACTGCTGCTATGTACTGTAATTATATTGTATGTGTATTGTGTAAATAGTATTGAAACCTTTTAGATGAGTCTGTAGGCTAACTTCCCTCATGATCAGTCCATGCAGAAGAACATGCTCAACTATAGTGCTTTTAATATTGAAATAATTAGTGCTGTCAAACGATTAATCGCATCCCAAATAAAAGTTTTTGTTTACATAATATATGTGTGTGTGTACTGTGTATATTTATTATGTATATATAAATACACACACGCACATATATATTTAAGAGAAATGTTATATTTGTATATTAAATATTTATATATAATATAAATTATATAAATATATATACATGTAAATATTTTCAAAATATTTACCGTATGAGTGTGTATTTATATATACATAATAAATATACACAGTATACACACACGTATATTATGTAAATAAAAACATATTTTGGATGCGATTAATCGTTTGACAGCACTAATAATATTATGTTAATTAGTAAATTATTAATAACGTGTATTATTCATATTTATTGAATTTAAGAGTTTTATTACAGTATTTTTACTCTAATAACCTAATGAGATTTAACATTCAACATTAATGATAGAAAATTAAAAAAAAAAAAGTCTGAATTGGTGAATTTAAAAAGTGAGAATTTGAGGAAGAAAATCTAGTATTTGTCTGGTAAATACTAATGTATTTAGACACAATAGTATTTATTCTACTGTAATGTATGGTGATTATAATTTTTAAAATCATTATTATATTACAGTATTTTAAACCGATAATCTAATAAGAATCAGAGTATTGGAAAAAATATGGTAATAAGAAATTTCATAATGTAAAAATGCAAGTAGTAGTTAATTAAAAATAGGCTTTGTTTAATTTATGCAAAATATAGTATCTTCTATCTTTTTAATTTTGGGGGAAATGTGACTTGCGTAAGATTCACCCGTGTGTGAGTGGATTTGTTCTGATGTGTTTGTTGAGTAGCAGAAAATTGAGTCGTCAGCAGCTTATCTTGGACTCCCTTGCCTTTAACACTGTTTCTGTGTGTGTGTGTGTGTGTGTGTGTGTGTGTGTGTATGTTTGTGTCACACTCACATGGTATTAGATTTTCGCCCCTGTCCTGAGTAATTATTGTCTCTGCCCCTCACTCTAGATTGTTCCCGGTGATCCTTTGGATAAGAGTATTGTGATTCGTCCTCTAGAGCCTCAGCCGGCCCCTCATCTGGCCAGAGAGTTTATGATCAAAACCCGCAGGCGCAAAGTAAGACACATTTGACATCTCTGAAATGTCAATCAACTTGTTTAGTTTGAATATGCATCATATATCATCATCCTAATCATCTCTCTCTTCCTCCAGGGTTTGAGCGAGGACGTCAGTATCAGCAAGTTCTTCGATGACCCTATGTTGTTGGAGCTGGCCAAACAAGATGTGGTGCTCAACTACCCGATGTGATATGACAAATGAACTCAACTCATCCCATCATTCCCCTTCAGCTTCACCAGACTTGCCCCTACTACAAATCAATCCAGTTCTGTATGATGGAATTAAAAAATGTCTTTTTTATATGTAAAGTGCTAGAAACATCCACACCGATTACTGTTGCTGTTGCCGCAGACTTTCCTAAATTAACCTGCGACCTCCAGGAGCTCCCTTATAATTTTGTTCTTTGTTTATTTTTATATTTGACAAGTGTTTTTGTAGTATAAGATAATGTAAAGCACAGGCAAGTCTTTTTGAAAAGTGTCTGAAATCTCTTTAAAATCTTACATCATTTGTGTAAGTGTGATTAAAAGGATTTGGCCTGTGGATCTAGAGTTTGAGGACATTATGGATGTATTCTTTGATATTGCCGGAAGGACTCTGATGTGAAGGAGAAGATGCTTTTGATATGCAGTATGTGTGTGTGTGTGTGTGTGTGTGTGTGTGTGTGTATGTTTGTGTCACACTCACATGGTATTAGATTTTCGCCCCTGTCCTGAGTAATTATTGTCTCTGCCCCTCACTCTAGATTGTTCCCGGTGATCCTTTGGATAAGAGTATTGTGATTCGTCCTCTAGAGCCTCAGCCGGCCCCTCATCTGGCCAGAGAGTTTATGATCAAAACCCGCAGGCGCAAAGTAAGACACATTTGACATCTCTGAAATGTCAATCAACTTGTTTAGTTTGAATATGCATCATATATCATCATCCTAATCATCTCTCTCTTCCTCCAGGGTTTGAGCGAGGACGTCAGTATCAGCAAGTTCTTCGATGACCCTATGTTGTTGGAGCTGGCCAAACAAGATGTGGTGCTCAATTACCCGATGTGATGCGACAAATGAACTTAACTCATCCCATCATTCCTCTTCAGCTTCACCAGACTTGCCCCTACTACAAATCAATCCAGTTCTGTATGATGGAATTAAAAAATGTCTTTTTTATATGTAAAGTGCTAGAAACATCCACACCGATTACTGTTGCTGTTGCCGCAGACTTTCCTAAATTAACCTGCGACCTCCAGGAGCTCCCTTATAATTTTGTTCTTTGTTTATTTTTATATTTGACAAGTGTTTTTGTAGTATAAGATAATGTAAAGCACAGGCAAGTCTTTTTGAAAAGTGTCTGAAATCTCTTTAAAATCTTACATCATTTGTGTAAGTGTGATTAAAAGGATTTGGCCTGTGGATCTAGAGTTTGAGGACATTATGGATGTATTCTTTGATATTGCCGGAAGGACTCTGATGTGAAGGAGAAGATGCTTTTGATATGCAGTATGAAAGTATGCTCAAACTTTGGAAGCGAATATTCAACGCAGGGGAAACTTTGAGAACATTTGCTGAATACAGAATAAAAGTGAAGTACATGTAAAGGGCAGGAGACACGCGTCTGTATGCATGCAGGTAAAAACAGATCCGTCTAATAGACACTGCAGAAGCAGAGCTAAGTGAAGTTGACATGAGTGAAGGCCGTTCAACAGACACAAGTCTGACATTTAAGTGAATGTCACAGATGTCTTTTTTTGTTGCTGTGCCCTTTTCTTAAAAAAAATTGCATTCATATTAAATGAACTTCAGTTCAGTTCTGAATTTAACATTTAAAGTAACCTAAACCAGAAACTAATAAATGTAGGAATAAAGTGGAAACTTTTTTTTTTTTTATAAACTATCCCTTTAATAAAATACTGTTATAGTTATATACACACAGTGGAGATCAAAATTAGAGAACAATCTAAATATTTAATCTTAGCTCAAAATTAGAATGAATATTAGCTGTAGGTATACCACTAAATGTTCAAAATATCCAAGGCATTAAAAAAAAACTTTATTTTGTGGAAAATGCAGTGATCAAAATTAGAGAACAGTAACCACTGTAGCACGAAAGATTACAACAAAAATTGTGGAGGGCTACAGCTGTCAGAAATTAGTAGGAAGTGTAGAGGCCCTCATTTTGAATGTCTTCAGCACATCCGCGGCCGCAGGATATCACTAGTTTCTCACACTGCTCTGGTGTGATCTTGGTCCTCTCTTCTTCCTCTCTCTTCCAAAGTTCAGTAACTAGTGGGTTTCTTAGCCAACTTTGTCGCCAAGGATTTTCCAGAGATTTTCAGTCGGGTTTAGATCAGGACGCTGGCCCGGCCATTTCATGATTTCAATGTTCTTAGATTCAAGGAACCGCTATACCTGTTTTGCAGTGTTGTCTTACATGAAAATAGCAGGCTGAATCGGAGATGCTTGCAGGGAAAGTACAGCATGTTTCTGAAAGAGGTCATCTGCCATGTATCTGTATAAGAGACCCAACTCGCTGCAGAAAACATCCCCCAAACAATGACACTCCTCTTTCTCCACCTTTCACTATCTTCTTTACACACTTGGGCTTCAGTCTTTCCCTAGTATGATGCTGAACAAAATGTCTCCCATCAGACCCAAATAAATTAAACTCGCTCTCATCACTAAAGTGAACTTTGGAGCAGTTCTCCTCTCTCCACACAACATGCTCCTCAGCAAAGGTGAGCCGAACCATTTGATTCTTCCTGCTGATGAGAGGTTTGGTCATTACAGAGTTGTGCTTTCAGTCCGACTTCTCTTAAACGTCCCAAGACAAATCTCTACCCCTTTCAGCACTGAACTGGCAAGCAATTCCAGCTGCAGTGTTGAACCGATTCCCCATTGAGAGTCTCTGCATTATCATGTCCTCTCGTGCATTTGTCTTTTGTGGACGACCAGCCTTTTTGGGGGACTTGAATTAATTGGTGTCATTGTAAACCTGCAATATTGGAAAAATGAGAGATCTGGAACTTCTCTTGCAATGGCTGAAAGGGCCATCCCTTTGGCCTTCATCTGGACCACCTCCTGTCGCAGGGTTTGAGTCACCTTAGAGCAGCCCGCCATCTTGCACTCTCAGTGAACATTGGAGGAATGTTGCCAGCTAAATAGGGTTTGTCATATAATTAAGGAAATTAGCACCAGATGCCAGATTAACATTTTAAAGGATTACATTTAAAAAGCATAGGAATGGCATATGTCAACACGAGAGTAAGGGAATAATGACTTTTCATTTTTTAATAAACTACCCGATAAATGATAATACTAAAATAAAAAGAATGCTAGAAAAATAAAAGTATATGTAAAAATTAATAAGTAAACTATAAAAAATGTTTATATAATTCAGAACTTTACTGACATTGATTATATTTTCTGACATTTATCTAATCAAAGTCTGGCTGAAGTTTGTGTGTCAGAAGGAATCATAATTTTAATTCAGAGTCGGGGTGTTTGTACGCATGTGTCTGTGGGTAAAATGGTGATGAATAATCAGTTTGGACTACATTGCTGATTCCCTGCATGAATGATGTGTGTGTTTGTGTGTGTGTGATGTAAATATGTGAGATGGTTGTGGCAGCATGAGTGACAGGCTTTTTAAGCAGAGCTCTCATTCACATCACATACCACTTGCATAATACAATATATCTGTCAACACTTAAAGCCATATAGTTGCCAGAAACATGTCCGAACACACAACGTCTCCTTTTTAAACAAGTTTAATCTCAAATCTCACCACACAGAAATACATAAAGCTCCTGTGGAAAGTACTTTGCTACTCAGCTAAGATTGTCAGGCAGCTCAGAGGTGGTCTCATTATTGAAATGAGAAATTATTGAATATCTAACCTGCCTGTCAAGGGAAAAAGTTAATGAGAGAGAGGGGAGGAAGGACTGAATACCAGGGTCACTTTCTAGCAGAATGAATGGTGAAATAATATTCTGAGTGAAAGTCTTCTCCTAAGGTCTTGGCTTACTGGTGTGTTTTTTTCTTCTTCTATATTTAGCAACGATTTTCAAATTGTGCTCAAAGGTTGTGTGTGAATGTCTGTGTTGGTGTGTTTCGGCACGTTTCACATTCGCTGCCATCAGACCAGATGCCGTGGGCCCCGCACAGTCACACACACATTCTGCCTCAGAGTAAGAAAACTGTCATAATACAATCGCATTATGAGTCAGAAATCTTGTAATGCACACTTCATGATCGCCACAACATCAAAAGATGTGCATGCAGCTTATTTCTAAGTTCTAAGCCAAATACTGACTTTATAGACTTTCACCTTGATGCCATAATAAGATTTTGCATTTGCGCATGTTTTATTAGGCAGCCACATTTATCTCTGGCAACTTGCCTTGGATCGCCAGACAGTTTCTTCCATCCAATGAAATTGATGGATCATCAAGGCTGTTGTGCCTTGTACATTTATTGGCTACTCAAGTGTCACCTCTGCTCTATCCCAACGAATCAAAAATGACCTCTTTTGAGCATGCTGTTGCCCAGCTGGTATTGTTTCAGTCTAGTGTTTAGACCAGGCTTTGGTTCAAATGTTCATGAATGAATATTTCTTGGTATTAGAATTTCATAGTATATGCTTAAAACAATACTTAACCCAAAAAATAACAATTCTGTCATTGTTTACTAAATGTTATGAGCCAATCCTGTATGATTATATGACCTTTATAAGTGCAGTAATGATGTGCTGCTGTTACTGTTACTTACTTTTATTGGTTTTGGGCATTTTTGGAGCTTGTTTTATCGATTTGGAAAAAAGCAGCATTATGTAGGCTCCCCTGGTTTCCTCAACAAAACCCCAGTTGGAATTTTCCATTAGCTTTTGGGTTATTGCAGAAAATATGCTCTGTGACCAACAAAAGTTTAATATTCTGACACAATTTTGAAGCCTAAATAAATCACCAGAAGTAAGAAGCTAAATGTAGACTATACTATTACAAACAAAGTACACTATTATTATATCACCACCATTAAGCTTTGAGTTAGAACAATTTACAAGAGTGTGATTATAGACACAAGGATGTAAAAAGCAGATTTGTGTGTGTGTGTGTGTGTACGTGTTTCCGTGGCAACTTCTGTAGTCCTAGTTAGCAACCACCTCTTTCAAAACAGCCTAATAAAGTTGAAATACACTTTCAAACCATAACCTTCCCATGACCCTCTGTCAAAGGAACAGCAAAGAACCAGGTCATGACAAGAGACATAAACAACACATGGGCTTTGTTTGGAATGCAACATACTGTTATTGCATTGCTGCATTGTATACACTGTTTACTGCCTACTATTTTATAAATATAACATGCAACAATACACACTTCAGATAGTAGCTTGCCGTACTCATGAAACCTTATTATGTTGCATGTGTAAAATATGCAGTATGTTGCATTTGTATAACATTTTACTGTTTTTGGTAACATTTTGTATAAAATGGTATAAAATTGGTATATTTCTTAACTTATGGTAATCCAATAAAACTCATCATACTAGAAATGGGAGAAAATGTGCAGAAAATATAATATATTCAAATGATTACCATTATATATGCTTTTTTGGATATAATGCAGTCAGTACATAAACACAAACATGACATTGCCACTCCACAGCAGCAGCAGGGAGAGCAATCATGAATCAGGGTCAGAAAGAAATAGAGAAAGAGATTAAGCTACAATTGTACCTTCCACAGCAGAAGGAGAGTAAGAGTGGATAGAGACTTCCTGATCCTGACAATACTAGATAAATCTCAGGGGAAATTGAGAGCTAAGCTTAAGTTTGCTCATTTCTCAAAAGAAAAAAACCTGCCATTAATCCAAAGCTTTTCAAAAAGACTCTTGAAGTATCAATTGCATGGCAAGTCAGACCAGATTTTTAGTAACAGTCAACATGTAAGAGACACTAATGTTTAACAGAAGGGATGGAAAAAAGAAAAGTTGATCCTAAATACATAGGAAAGGAATTGCTAAACTTTGTGAATCGATAGCAACAGGCCTAAGTATTATAGGTATTAAAAGAAAAGTTGATACTGTTGAAATATGGGTTATGACGACTATAGTATCATGATATTGAATGAAATTTCATCATAATGTGACTAAAAAAGGTTTTAGATTTTAACTCTGGCATTTTGTGTTCACAATGGTAAATAAAAAAAAGTTTCTTCTAATGAGTTGTGGCTGTCCGATCATTTGTTCAATCACACTGATTGACTGATTAATGGACTGATTTGATGTGACATTGTCACCATCTTGATCCGACAGCTCAGTGTTGCCTCTCTGCCGTCTACTCTTCTCCTTTCCCACAAGTTGGAGTGAGAGATTCGGGTTAAACAGGACACCAGGGAATTTCTAGCAGACACCACGAGATGATTTGACAAACAGAAGTATTGGAGCATTTGTGCCACTTCAGGCTGTTTTTGACCACCATATGCTGAAAACCAAAACCACCCAGAGTGCACAAACTTTGGGAGCCTGATTTCCCCCTACCTTCCAGTCACAACTATCAGAACAGTTTGATCGGATCCATGCCATCCATAATTATTTCATGCGCCTGGACTCTAACCAGCCTAAGCCATGCCACCATTTGACGAGTGAGAAATGGAGAGAGAGACAGAACACAAAGACAACAGAGAGAGAGAGAGAGAGAGAGAGAGAGAGAGAGAGAGATGCCTCTGGTTAGGAGGAAACCCCATTTCCAATGTCACTGTCTGTATAAGATGTCAGCCTGTGCACCTGAACCAGTCCGCCTGTCAAAGTTCCTGTCAGAGTGTCTGAATGTCAGAGTTGAGAGCAGATGGAGAGGTTACAATGGCTCCTTCAGACTTTAGACTGCTGGAACACGGTTTCAGGGTAAGAACCATCAACTCAATTTTTGTAAGAGGGTATAGGGCTGGGCAGGTATTAGAAGTCTTGCTTAATTAAGTTGAAGATCTGATGTGAATACGACTTCAGCTTTAATAAACAGCAGGTTCTCCAACAAGTGAGTGTAGCTATCATAAAAACTAAATTTAGGTTCTTTTGTTTGTTTGTTTTTTTTGTTTAGAGGTGAAAACCCAATCCAATGGACCTTTTTCACATTTCCGGGTTTCTCAGCAGCGGAAGTCGTCATAATTGGGTTAACTTCGAGAGCAATGAATGGGAGAGTACCACAAAAATATTTTTTTGCATTCCCATTTGCTCAAATAGCAAAAGAAAAACTCCCTGATAGTATTTTCACGACTTTTAATCAAAGGAAAAAAATTGAGAGACTGATAACGGCAGTCAGAAGGGAGAACAATGTCAAATTTACCGTCCCTCCCGTAGACTCGGTGTTAGAAACACCCTCGCATCAGTGTTAACCAGTTTTTTTTGTAATTTGATGCAAAGGTGATATAATACAAAGTATAGTGTTATAAATGTACATAAGCCTACATTTAAAAAAAATCAAAATATAAAAAAAACTTTCGAGACTTTCACAGACTTGTGAAAAGGGTCCATGTTCCACGTTTTGTTTATTTCGTCTTATATTTCACTATAGAGATTCTTAAAAATATTAAAACTGTCTATTTCTTGACGTATCCTTTTTATGTCTAAAATAAAATAGAAGTTATCGAAATATTCATCTAAAACATAGCTTAACATTGGTCCTGGAGGCATCCCAACCCTGTACATTTCGCATGTCTCCTTTCTCTGACGCACCAATTTCAGGTCTTGGAGTCTCTACTAATGAGCTGATGATCAGGGCTGCGTTCAGCCCCGATAAAAATGGTGCAAAACGTTTTTTCAACGGAAACGGTGGTGCGTTGAACACCCTGTTCTGATGACGCAAGAGTTGCAACTATGGCAGCTGAGAAGGCCATTCTTTGTGTTCTTTTTGAAGAATTTTCGGAGCCTGATGAAATTGATATAAATACGTGTTTAATACTGCAGTATACGCTCGATGTTACAGTCACAGTCCTTGCCGTCCAGAATAAAGGAGAACATCCCAATCGAGTGAAGGGATTTGTGCAAACTGTGGTTCCTAATTGGTTAGAACAATGGGGTTTTATGTCCAAAGGAAACCATGCATGAGAGCGAGCTCGCGCCCAAGTCAAGCATCCTTCGCCTTTTGTGAACGTCAGAAATTCCTCTGGTCAGTGAGCAGGCATCCGTCAGGCTTCCCCTTCAGTGTTAACACGCTGTAGCATCCCTCAGACAAGGTCGTGCACTTTCGCCTTTCCCCATGTCAAACAACCAAATAAGTCGCGTGGGTGAGCCGCTGACGCAGTCATTGTGTCCCAACCAACCGAACCCCACGAGGACGGAGACGCGGACACAGCTTGAAATCGCAGTCATTTATTGTTGACAGTTAGTAGGGTGGCCGGTTCGCACGTGTTCGCTGCAATAGGTTACTTCAGGCGCGCGAGAATATTTCGCCAGGTAAATACTGTAGGGGCACGAGACGAGCTCGCGCCAGACGCGCGAACATGAATTCCGCGGCGAGTGTTTGAGCGTTTCTTCGTAATGACTGCATTTATCCAGCTGAGTTTATGAACAGAGCGACAGACTGCCAGCGAACATTAACAACACTCGCAATAAAACAGTATTTGTTACCGAGCAGCATGTTAAAATCGGACGATTTGAGTCGCGCTCTGAGGTCTCGTGAAGTCTTCAGCGGTGACGAGACAGAGACAGAGGCGGAGGCGAGTCCGTTAACGGAGGACTTGGGCAGCGATTAAGACTCTGGGACCTTCCGTCGTTTGACCGGGCATCCTTCTCCTTAAAATAATCATCACAGACTCGCAGAGCGGTAAGAGTCGTTTGTGTTTCCTACTAACAAGATGTTTTGTGTGGAGAAACAGCACGAGGATGACAGAACTGGAGCCCGTTGCCATATTTTGGCGAGGTTATAATGAGTGTCAATCAATTAGATGCTTAATACTTAAATGAAGGACAATTACATGTACTTTTGTGTACAAAGCAACCCATTGATAATGTGGTTACAACTGTAAGACGTTTGGTTTGGTTTAGCGTTTTCTGCTGACAGAAACAAAACGTCATTACAGACTTCACATTTTCTGCTTGCATTGCTTTTGTTTGGTTTTAACCAGGCACAGCTGACATTGAGGATTTCGGTTAGGTTTTAGTAAAGGTTTTCTTTGGTTCCGTTGTGAACCTAAGCGAAGACTCCTGGAGGTACTGGACGTGTTTCTTGCTCTTCACTTTTTGTAGCATTCATGATTTATGTATTGATCACTAACCTTAATAGTTCAACTCTTCTACTAAGTAGTTAATAAGACAATATATTTTTTCCTTATATTTTTTTTCTCTCCTTTTCTCTTCTTCTTTCTTTCTGTTTCTTATTTTTTATAACGGATAAGCATAAAAACGGCTGAAAAAGTTATGATTGAGAGCAGAATATACTTGTTAGAGTCACCCTCAATAAAGCAGAGATCTCCAGGAAAGTCCCTCCCTCACTATTGTCAGATTATACACTGGGATCAGATAATGTCCATAAAAGCATCTTCGTTTTAGAGAGGATTGTTCTTGCAATTGTCTTGGGATTGGCAGTGAAATTTTATTTTTCTATTGCTTTCATATTGTAATGTTAGTGTCCAGCTAGTTTTATTCAGTGTTTGGTCCAAGTCTGTCTGTTTAATGTCTGCTAAGCAGACACCATGTTTTGCGGTTAAATGTAGCTACACTGTACTGTATCTGTTCGGCTCACTGCTCCACAGCAACAAGCCTTGCAGGTATTTGTCACAGTTATGCACCAAAACATCTGATTAAAGCAATTAGCTGATATTAGAGCATAAAGTATTTCATTAGCAGAGGTGAGGTGGTGGTGCGTAGAGGCACAGAATACCTCTTGTGTGTTTTTACTACCACTTTCTAGCATTTGTGTAATATTTTTGTACTGTAATATAAAAAAAACAAAATAAAAAAAAACAACTGTTAATAGGATTTAGGGCAACTATTAGTCAATTTAAAAAATTCATATCAGGCAGACTGTAATATGTCAGACACTCAAGGAAACTACAACCCAATCAGTCATCTTAAAACCATCAAAAACATTCCAGGTGTTTTGACCTGATGTTTTTAAGATGGAGAGTGATACTGAAATAGTCCAGTGTAAGCCGTAGATACTTTTTCATTTTTTAATCATACATTCACTCCAAGAATGCCTGTGCCTTCATTCTGCGTTCTGTCTCTCTTCTTTTGCGAAGTTGCTATGTAGATGCCTTATATGTCTGGATTTCTCAAATGCATCCTGTTTAATTGCTTTAAATAATTTTGAAAACTGGCCAAGTTGATTTGCCCAGTGATGGATTTATAGCTCTGATGGGCTTGCAAACTTTAATAACGTCATGTTAAAGGTGTCCGTGAGTTTTGAAAAAAATCATATCATAAAAAATCATAATGTATAAAAAAGTATTTGGGTGATTGTTTTACTTCTGGTGCTTAAATGTGTCAGATTTTTTATGTATATGAAAATTTATAAACATTTATTGATGTAAATGTATAAAAGTAATATATAAAAATATTATATTTAAATTAAATATATATATTTTTTAGATATAAGTTGTATTAGCTATTATTTTTTCCATGCCTTAATAATTAATTTTATTTTCAAATATCTTTTGTTATATAGATTTTGTTTATCCTTTTTCTCCAACCCAGTGAAAACATTAAAATTGCAAGTTTAATTGCAGGTTTAAAACTGATGATATAAACAAAGAATGCAATAAACAAAGTATTTGAATATTTATTATTGCGTGGAAAATGTAAAAAACTATTTTTTTAAAGAAACACCTGTTTATTAAATTTATTTTGGATTCTCATTAATATAGTAATTCTATTCAAGATTATCATTTAAAGGATAATCTATAAATAATCATAATCTAGTATGAATATTAATAATTATATATAATATAATCTGATTCTGATTCTGATTATATAGGATATATGTGATATGCATACAGACACGATGGCATGTCAAGACCCCCTCTTTCACGCACACACCCATCCTATTTTCTGTTCTTCGTTTTCTATTAGACCTCTTTCATCTCAAGCCTTTTAGGCATATCAGTGTGTGATACAACAATGTTTCTATGTGACTTATTACATGCATACACACAGTAGACATTTGGACGTAATGGCAGAAAGAAAATAGTAAAGAAAGGAATGGAAATTGCACTTTGCCTGGGTGAAAGAGTGATGAGGAGCACATTCTGTCTGGCATGCAATTACACACACGCTCATGCACTCTAAAGTCCAGGAGCCTGATCTGAGGAACCTGGCCTGTGTACAGCTTTCTAATGTGAACATACACACACACACATAGAGAGACAAAACAGACTGGCTCGTTCCGGCTGGTCAAGGCCCGTTTTGACCACCCAGATCGAGGCAGCATCAGATAAGTGGGGAGGCTCTGAAGCCTCTCAGTAAGTCTGTTACAAAGTCTGTCAATCTGTTATCCATATGGAGATTCAAATAAATGGTGGCAAACATTGAATGATAGATTTTTAGCATTTGGCAACCACAGTCTAAGCAAAACCTCACCCGTACACACGCACTATAAAGAGAGTCTGTAATGATGTATTATGATAGTTTTTGTGTGTGTGTACTCGTGTGTTTTCTACAAAGGAGTGCTGTCTTTATCATCATGATGATTCATAATGACTCCATCATTCGGTGTGAGGCACACAACATGTTTTTTTTATGTGTGTGTGTGTAGTTATAGATCCTCAGTGACATTCCCATTGGGAAGGAGTCTTATGTGATTCTTTTCTTCCACACAGCTCAGTGCCGAAGTGAATCTTTGCCATCCAGACACACGTGAGTGTGCATTCTCAGCTTCTGTGGCTGAGTGAGTAAATCTGCAGTCAGTATTAATGCTTTGCGACAGGGAGGGATGACTGCACAGACAGACACACGGAGACAGCAGAGGCCACATAAAACACACAAACACAAGCCATCCTGATTTACAGCCTTCCCTCCCATGGCCTGCCATCATATTTTTCAAAACTTTCTCTTTCTCATGCACAAGTCTCTGTGCTGACACATAACCTGTGAAAAAGACAAGTACATGAGCTCTGTTGACCCAGCCAGGTCTGGGTCCTGTCAGAGACAGACAGAGGAAAACAGAAACACTAAGGACATCTATTAGGTTGAAGACTCTGGTCTCCATTTCTTCCTCTCTGGTTCTCTTGCCTGGGAGTGTAGAGCAGAGTTGTAGATCTCATGCCTAATTGGATGCACAACAAACAGGATGTTTTGCCGTTAAAGTGACAATGTGGTGTATCCCAAAGTGTTTCCCCAGAATCTGAAGCCCTGGCTTTCTTTTGTTAGTTTTACACCTGAATTGAATGTGATGGTGAAAACTGGCCCATGAAACAGTACGATGAGGGCTCAACAAAAAGGATGGCAAATGCTACACATGTTATTATTTTAACCCAAATGCTGGGTTGAGCCTTTTGGGTCATTTTTTTGGAGTTATTCTTTCAGTGTTTTTGTGTTACCCAGCTCCTGGGTCAAATGTAACAACCCAGTGTATGGGTTGTTTTGCAGCTCCTGGGTCAGACATAACCCAATGTTTGGGTTGTTTTTGTGTTATTCAGATCCTGGGTCAGACAAACCCAGCGGTTGAGTTATTTATCGCGGGGATTTTGCGTCTTCTTTTCACGAGAGAGCAGTTCTAAGCGCCATCGAATTGATGCATTCTTCAGTAAAATACAGGTTTGTGTACATTTTATTTTATCTATAAAATCGATACTGTGCTGTATATCGTTCAATTTTGTGCAGAGCAACTTAAAGGCGCGCGGTGTGAATCACCTTTAAGGAGTGTCGCGGTCTTTTTGCGTGATTGAAAAGCCTGATGCTTTGCATAAAATAAATGATTTTATTCATAAAGATACAGAATATAATATTTTGGATGTTAAAACATGTCCACAGAGCTGTTTATTGTTTGTTTATTGGCAGGTTATGGAGTCACAGCATGTTTCGGCTAGAGTGAAATGCAGGGCGGTGGTCTGTTAGCAGTTCCCCGCCGAACACGACTCCACCTTGGGCACCAGCGCCGTTACGATGGAAACAGAATAACAGAGACTGGTCGATTACACTTGAATTACTTCTGTTTAATGTTGAATTTTTTAGATATATCTAGCTATTATCACTTAATTGCATTTTGGTGCCTTGCAAATTAGCTAATTCTGCTTCTCAGTATTTTTTGTTTTTAATAATAAATATTTTATATTTTAATCATGTTTTTAATATAATACAAAAATGTTTAGTAAATATTATAATAAATGTTAATATAAAACTAATAAACTTGCAAGTGTGAAATTATAAATGCTAATCTAAAATTTTACATATAAATTGATAGATATGTATATTTCTTTATGTTGAGGCCAGTGGAAAAATTACATGGCAAATATAAATCTGAATTGCTGGTCCTACTGTGCCAGTAGAAAAAAAAGACAAAATTGTCAAAGACGGTAAATAGACAATAAACTTATTTTTGTTATGTTGTCTTTGCTGGCTGCAAGAGCAAAAAAAAAAAAAAAAAAAACAACATGACCAATGATGTTCGATTCATTAATAAATTACTCTTGTTTTGGTCCTGTTGCTGAATCAGACAAGAAGTCTCAGACAGTCATCGATTTGAATCAGATCATTAACAGCTTAATTATTGAATCTCTCTGGGATGTCTCTTCTAGCTCAACGCTTTCCTTTTACAGCAAGAGTAAATCAAGAACAAAGTACAAGAAAGGAGACAGGAAAAACAAGCTGCTTTTGCACTTTTTCATT